CTCTGTGTATGGCCTCTATGATTGTGGCGGTGACGCGGTTGGATAATTTTGTCAATTTTGTGTTTCCACTGCTGCAAACGAAGCCCCTCAGCTCTGCCCCAATAGGGTATCTGCTGTGGTGTGGAATGATTACTGCGTTATAAGGTACTCAAATGAGGACTTCTTTGGGAAAGCTATGACATCCCAAATATGGCATAGTATTGGAAAAAGAAACATATCCAATATAACAGAGATTCAGAAAGGTGAGAATTTTGTGACAAGTTTGATCAGAAAAGCAACTAATGAAACCAACCAGTTGTACTATAAGGAAGGCTTCAATTTGAGTGCCACTGAGAGTAGGTATAGCGTGGTGCAATGCACTAGAGATCTCACAAATGAAGCGTGCAGACAGTGTTTGGAAGACATACTGGCTGAAGTTCCCAAATGTTGTGAACAGAAAGTAACATGGACGGTTTGGTCTGGAAGTTGTTTGATAAGGTATGATGATCATATGTTCTACCTTCTTCCCAACCAACCACCTTCAGCTCCCGAGCCCAATGCACAAGGTGAACCTGAATCCGTTTTTTTCATAAACAAATATCAGTCATTAATATATTATCTTTTGTTAATGGATCTATTTGCTTCTCCCTCCCTTCCACTTTTATCACCAAATCAACCTTATATTTTCATTAATCTTTTATTTTGTCACAGATAAACTAGGGGGTAATAACAGATCAAAAATATTGATCATTACCTTCAGCGTGGTAGGGCCAATAATTATTTCATGTTTCGGCCTATACTGCTTCTGCCATAGGAAAAGACTGAGAAAAGGTAACTATCAATGAATAACCACGGGTGGGGTTAGGGAATCTCATTTCTCCAAGCACACATGGCTGAGATATGAACTCACAAAATTTTCTTTGTAGAAGGGCTTCCTCTACCTTCATCACATAAAATTCAATCAGAGGAAACGTGGAGCACCGACCTGCCTAGAATCCCATTAATAAGAATTCTACAGAGTACTGATAACTTTTCAGAAGCATCTAAACTAGGAGAAGGTGGATTTGGCCCCGTGTACAAGGTTGTAAAGATGAGGAGTTTCTGATATAGATTTCTTATTTTTTTACCATCTTTCTATGTACTCTTATTTATTGCAAACTTTATCAGGGAACTCTTCCTGATGGAAAGCAAATTGCAGTCAAAAGACTCTCCCAATTTTCTGGTCAAGGCTCGGAGGAGTTCAACAATGAAGTGATGTTTATAGCTAAATTGAGACATCGCAACCTTGTAAGACTTTTAGCATGTTGCTCGGAGGAAAATGAAAAGATACTTGTATATGAGTATTTGCCAAATAAAAGTCTCGACTTTCACCTATTTGGTATGTTTTCACATAACTCCAGCAGCAGTGTTGTATTTTCTGCAATTGTCTCCAGCAATCTCCAGTACAAAAATAGTATTTGTTCCCAAGTAAAATGGGAAACTATGGGAACGTAGTTGTCCTGGCTTGTATATAGTACTATTATATCATGCAATTAATAATAATCTCATCATTTATCTTTATGGAGAAAATGAAAAATTCTTCTAGTATTTTGTTTCCCCATTTCTATAGCCAAACCATAGAATATGGTGTATTTTCTATATATATTTTCTTCACTAACTGTTTTTTGTTCAAATCTCAATGCTGTTGTGTGGTCAGATGTTGAGAAAAGAAAAAAATTCGATTGGAAAATAAGATCAAGCCTTATCAGTGGAATAGCGAAAGGTATTTTATACCTTCATGAGGACTCTCAACTCAGAGTAATCCATAGAGATCTCAAAGCAAGCAACGTTCTATTAGACCATGACATGAATCCCAAAATATCAGATTTTGGATTGGCAAGGGCATTTGAAGTAGGTCAGAACCAGGCAAATACAAAACGAGTAATGGGAACTTAGTGAGTTTTACATGTAACTATGTTTTAAACAATAAGATCTATCTGCATATTTTAGTATTTCAATGAAATTCTTTCCTATATGTTCCTTGACTCGAGATAATGACAAAGCTTTATTGATTTCTATTAGTGGATACATGGCTCCTGAATATGCTATGGAGGGACTATTTTCAGTGAAATCTGATGTTTTCAGCTTTGGAGTTCTTGTTCTAGAAATCATTTCTGGGAGAAAGAATGGTGGATTCTACCTGTCAGATGGTCAAAATCTTCTTGTATATGTAAGTCTTCACTCTAGTGTGGTCGTGAAATTATTCAATGCTAAGATAACTAAGACTTAAGAATATTAAAAAAAAAAACACAAATACTTGTGTAGGCTTTGAGAACATGGTATGAAGGAAAATGTTTGGAATTGATGGATTCAATGCTGGAAAAATCCTTCATAGGAAGTGAAGTAGAAAGGTGCATACAGATTGGTTTGTTGTGTGTTCAAGAAGATGCAAGAGATAGACCAACCATGTCGGATGTTGTGGTAATGCTAGCAAGTGACACAGTAGCCATTCCAAAACCCAGGCACCCAGCATTTTCAGTTGGAAGAACGGCCACAGAGGAAGTCCCTACATCAAGAAGTTCCAAGAAACTTTCCATTAGTGATATAACAACCTCTATTACTTTACCAAGATAATTTCATGATTGCGCAACAGACTTGTATATATCTGTTCAAAAGTGACCAATGAAGTTGTATTTATAACTGATGTGAATCAAGTTAGTCATTAATTTCATATTAACATTTAATGTACCAATACTTTTTAAATTAGAACATAGTTCAATGCCCAATATAATTGTCTTCCTTTTTGTTGCGTAATATAGATCCAGTTCCAAGAAAAAACTGCACACACAAAAAAGCACACAAAATGAGCCCTTATATGTCCACCTTATGAAACCACAGTCCATAAAAAAAAATTATCTTCACAAAGCCAAAATATCTAAAGTTGCTTGTGTGAGAAAACCATCCCCAGTAACCCTGCTAGTCCCTGTCATAGACAGAACAAGCAGAATGATGTGTTTCTCGAACAAGGAATCAAGCCTGACTTAGCCATCAGTTTTCTCATTAACAGAAATATTTCCATTCTTTATATTCCACTCAGTTAAGTTATCATCTGTATGATAAGCAACACGCTAACACGAGCAAGGCAATGGGAAACACAACAAGTGGAGAGCAAAGCTGATGTGCCTTCCCGAAACAGGAAAGTCAGGGAATATTTTCAAAAACAAGCAAATATCCATAAATGTTCAAGTAGGACTTGGCAGCCAAATATATGTTTTTCTTTATCAGAAATAAACAATATTATATATGATGCAACACTTCGGGTATTCCAATTCTTTCCCTGTTTATTTACAAAGAGAATCACAAAATACTTCAAGGATTTTTAAGTCAAGCCATCTCTTACAACTATCTTCACTACTACCCAAAAGGGCCCTAAAAATAGTTGGTGACAAAATACAATGTGTATAACACCATTTCCTGCTTTATATTTCGTAACTTCATAGAATTTCCTTTTCTGCTTCTTTGTGGTACCTTTTGTTAAGAAATGGACAATAAACCTAATTAAACTCTACAAAATCGGGTTGTAAGTGAAGTTTGTACCTATATATACGCTAAATTGACCTTATCTCTAATTGATGTGAGACTTCTAACACACCTCCTCATGTCGAGATATATACATCTCGTGCGTAGGACTAAACATTAATGAATAGTCCGATAGCGAGTGAAACAATATGTCCAACAAACAACAAATGTTGCTAGGATAGGCTCTAATATTGGCTCTGATACCACATTAAGAAGTGGACTTTAAGCCAAACTTTGTTGAATATAGTGAAAAAGTATTTGTGGGATTAATCTTCCTCGTGTTAAATTCACACATAGGGTACTTAGAAATATGGACTAAGCAAAAAATACAAATAATAAATAATAGCAAACTAACTAAAGATAAAAGATAAAGATAATATATCTAACACTCTCCCTCAAGTTGGTGCATACAAATCGTATATACCAAGCTTGTTACTAATATAATCAATAAAGACTTGTTGAAAATATCTGCTTATGCACTCTAGTGACACCAAATTGTTAATGATTTTCGAATACGACATAGAAGATGAAATGTCAACCCAAAAGACTATCCTCAACAAAAAATTTGGGAGATTGCTTCATGTAAATGTCTTCTTGGAAATTGCCTTGAGGAATGCATTGTTGACATCCAAGAGATAAAGAGGTCATTGTTGAAGAGCTACCACGACTATAAATAAACTAACAAAAACCATCTTTGCTACAGGAGAAAAAGCATGGATGGTTCAATCGCAATAGTGACAAAAAGGGAGGTAAGAAGAGACAATAATGGAAGAAATCATTGATAAATATGATCCACACATTTATGTAATCTCTTAAAGTGTACCAAATTTTAGTTGACAAAAATACCTTCATATATTGTGAATTCTAAATTTTAAGGTTAAGGATATTTAAATAATTTTTGTTTTTTTTTGTAATTTTTTATTTTAAATTAAAAATAATTTTTTTATCAACTTAAATTTGGTATATTTTAAGAAGTTAAAAAACTCCATATATATATATATATATATATATATATATATACGCGTTCTTAATTTGGCCAATTTAATAGATAAAATAAAAATGCACTACATATATAAGATCAAATTTAAAATATAATACATATACGAAGACCAAAAGCACTTTACACGCACAAAACCGATTTAATAAATTTTACTTAAAAACCCAAATTAAAAATTTCTCAGACGTAGGAACAACATTATTTTAAAATATAATCGATATTTTCTTGGTTATAGTTACCGTTAGAATAATACTGTTATCTATAAGCAAAATTGCATACGTAACTGATATCAGAAGCGCTGCCTTATTCAAACTCATAAGAACTAGTCATAACTTTGCCCAGACATGCCCTCAATTATTGGGTAGGTTAGTTGAAATTTAATGCATGTTAAATTTTAAAATTCCAAGTTTATCTTTTTTAATATTTACTGTTAAAAATGGTATTTTATTTAGCAATCAACAAAATTGACAATTGAGAATGAAAAACACATGAAACTCTTGGTTGTGAAATGAATAGCTTGCTATATGTTTCAATTGTTGTAGGAAATAACAAAATTAAACATGTACTCCATGATAGGAATACAAAGGATAAGTTTTACTTTCTTGTTACTGCTGAATTTCAGGTCATTCATTACAAAGGCTGAAGAACAGTCATACCTGGGAAGTAGCTGCAATAACACCGCCCAACAAACTCTCAGCACTGCATACCAAACCAACCTTGATAGAATCCTGACTTGGATGTCCTCAGATTCAGGCACAAGCAATGGTTACAACATCACCACCATAGGCTCCAACAATAGCTCTGTGTACGGCCTCTATTATTGTGGGGGTGGCTTGGCTGGATACTTTTGTCATGTTTGTATTTCCACTGCTGCAAGAGAAACCCCTCGGCTCTGCTCCAATAGGGTGTCTGCTGTGGTGTGGAATGATTACTGCCTTATAAGGTACTCAAATGAAGAATTCTTTGGGAAAGCTATGACATATCCAACATGGCATGTTCTTGGAACAAAAAACATATCGAATATAACAGAGATTCAGATAGGTGAGGATTTTTTGAGAAGTTTGATCAGAAAAGCAACTAATGGAACCAACCAGTTGTATTATAAGGACGGCTTCAATTTGAGTGCCACTGAGAGTAGGTATAGCGTGGTGCAATGCTCTAGAGATCTCACAAATGAAGTGTGCAGACAATGTTTGGAGGACATACTAGCTGAACTTCACAAATGCTGTGAACAAAAACTAGTATGGAATATTTGGTCTGGAAGTTGTTTGATTCGGTATGATGATTATATGTTCTATCTTCTTAACACCCAACCACCTTCAGCTCCTGCTCCCAATGTACAAGGTGAATCTGAATCCATCTTTTTATCAACAAATATTAGTTTTTATTAGTGGAAGCATTCAAACCAACGGCATATCCCCTCCTCCGTCCCTTCCTCTTTTATCACCAAATCTACCTTATATTCTCATTCATCTTTCTTATTGTCGCAGATAAACAAGGGAGTAATAACAGGTCAAAAATATTGATCATTACCTTCAGTGTGACTGGGCCAATAATTGTACTATGTTTCAGCGTGTATTCCTTCTGGCATAGGAAAAGCGTGAGAAAAGGTAATTATCAAGAAAAAATGAAGGGTGGAGTTAGAGAATGTAACTTCTCCAAGCACACATTCCTTGATTTTCTCCTAGTCAAATAAAAATAGTTTTCTCATATATAAACTCACAACCTTCTCTCTGTAGAACGGCTTCCTCTACCATCATTTCACAAAATTCAACCAGGGGAAATGTGGAACACGGACCTGCCTAGAATCCCATTAATCACAATTCTAGAGAGTACTGATAACTTTTCAGAAGCATCTAAATTGGGGGAAGGCGGATTCGGCTCCGTTTACAAGGTTTGGATGATTTGAAGTTTCAGATATAGATTCCTTATTTTTACCAACTTTTTATATGGTTTTCTTTATTGCAAATTTTTATCAGGGAACTCTGCCTGATGGAACGCAAATTGCAGTAAAAAGACTCTCAGAATTTTCTGGTCAAGGCTCAGAGGAGTTCAAAAATGAAGTAATGTTTATAGCTAAATTGAGGCATCGTAACCTAGTAAGACTTTTAGCATGTTGCTCGGAGGGAAATGAAAAGATACTCGTATATGAGTATTTGCCGAATAAAAGTCTCGACTTTCACCTATTTGGTATGTTTTCACATTGTAAAATATGGAAATATGCTCTCTGGTACCAATTTTGTAGAATTATGAAAATATACTCCATTATAAATTTTCTGGAAAACTTTCCAGAACACACAAATACAAACAACATTTTACCCTCACAATACAACAATAATATACTCTTCAAAACTCACAAACAACAACACAACACAACTCTGTTTTTATCCTTCACCGTGGGTACTCTCCTTTCTTCACTCACAATACATAATTCTTTCTCTTCTTTCTTCTCCACAGTGGTTCTTCTCTCTCCCACATACTCCTACATATTTTTCTCCACTTCACGGTGCTCACACAAATACATCCGTGGCTATCCCTCTCTTTCTTTACTTTCACCATCTCTTCCATGGTGCACACACATGAAAGTGTGCCACACTTGACCACACCTTCCTCTATATTTTCTTTCTTCTCCGTGGTGGGTATGTAACCCCTTGCTTTCTCTTCTATTTATAACAAACTCCACTTCCCATCTTTCACGGTTGCTAGCCATGACATCAATCATGCACCAAAGTCTTGCAACCAAAGACTTGCAACATACAAAAGCTGCTGCCGTGGAAAACTTTGCACATCCAAACAAAGGACTTTTCTACTTTGCACAAAAGGTGNTTCTTTCCCTGTTTATTTACAAAGAGAATCACAAAATACTTCAAGGATTTTTAAGTCAAGCCATCTCTTACAACTATCTTCACTACTACCCAAAAGGGCCCTAAAAATAGTTGGTGACAAAATACAATGTGTATAACACCATTTCCTGCTTTATATTTCGTAACTTCATAGAATTTCCTTTTCTGCTTCTTTGTGGTACCTTTTGTTAAGAAATGGACAATAAACCTAATTAAACTCTACAAAATCGGGTTGTAAGTGAAGTTTGTACCTATATATACGCTAAATTGACCTTATCTCTAATTGATGTGAGACTTCTAACACACCTCCTCATGTCGAGATATATACATCTCGTGCGTAGGACTAAACATTAATGAATAGTCCGATAGCGAGTGAAACAATATGTCCAACAAACAACAAATGTTGCTAGGATAGGCTCTAATATTGGCTCTGATACCACATTAAGAAGTGGACTTTAAGCCAAACTTTGTTGAATATAGTGAAAAAGTATTTGTGGGATTAATCTTCCTCGTGTTAAATTCACACATAGGGTACTTAGAAATATGGACTAAGCAAAAAATACAAATAATAAATAATAGCAAACTAACTAAAGATAAAAGATAAAGATAATATATCTAACACTCTCCCTCAAGTTGGTGCATACAAATCGTATATACCAAGCTTGTTACTAATATAATCAATAAAGACTTGTTGAAAATATCTGCTTATGCACTCTAGTGACACCAAATTGTTAATGATTTTCGAATACGACATAGAAGATGAAATGTCAACCCAAAAGACTATCCTCAACAAAAAATTTGGGAGATTGCTTCATGTAAATGTCTTCTTGGAAATTGCCTTGAGGAATGCATTGTTGACATCCAAGAGATAAAGAGGTCATTGTTGAAGAGCTACCACGACTATAAATAAACTAACAAAAACCATCTTTGCTACAGGAGAAAAAGCATGGATGGTTCAATCGCAATAGTGACAAAAAGGGAGGTAAGAAGAGACAATAATGGAAGAAATCATTGATAAATATGATCCACACATTTATGTAATCTCTTAAAGTGTACCAAATTTTAGTTGACAAAAATACCTTCATATATTGTGAATTCTAAATTTTAAGGTTAAGGATATTTAAATAATTTTTGTTTTTTTTTGTAATTTTTTATTTTAAATTAAAAATAATTTTTTTATCAACTTAAATTTGGTATATTTTAAGAAGTTAAAAAACTCCATATATATATATATATATATATATATATATATAAACGCGTTCTTAATTTGGCCAATTTAATAGATAAAATAAAAATGCACTACATATATAAGATCAAATTTAAAATATAATACATATACGAAGACCAAAAGCACTTTACACGCACAAAACCGATTTAATAAATTTTACTTAAAAACCCAAATTAAAAATTTCTCAGACGTAGGAACAACATTATTTTAAAATATAATCGATATTTTCTTGGTTATAGTTACCGTTAGAATAATACTGTTATCTATAAGCAAAATTGCATACGTAACTGATATCAGAAGCGCTGCCTTATTCAAACTCATAAGAACTAGTCATAACTTTGCCCAGACATGCCCTCAATTATTGGGTAGGTTAGTTGAAATTTAATGCATGTTAAATTTTAAAATTCCAAGTTTATCTTTTTTAATATTTACTGTTAAAAATGGTATTTTATTTAGCAATCAACAAAATTGACAATTGAGAATGAAAAACACATGAAACTCTTGGTTGTGAAATGAATAGCTTGCTATATGTTTCAATTGTTGTAGGAAATAACAAAATTAAACATGTACTCCATGATAGGAATACAAAGGATAAGTTTTACTTTCTTGTTACTGCTGAATTTCAGGTCATTCATTACAAAGGCTGAAGAACAGTCATACCTGGGAAGTAGCTGCAATAACACCGCCCAACAAACTCTCAGCACTGCATACCAAACCAACCTTGATAGAATCCTGACTTGGATGTCCTCAGATTCAGGCACAAGCAATGGTTACAACATCACCACCATAGGCTCCAACAATAGCTCTGTGTACGGCCTCTATTATTGTGGGGGTGGCTTGGCTGGATACTTTTGTCATGTTTGTATTTCCACTGCTGCAAGAGAAACCCCTCGGCTCTGCTCCAATAGGGTGTCTGCTGTGGTGTGGAATGATTACTGCCTTATAAGGTACTCAAATGAAGAATTCTTTGGGAAAGCTATGACATATCCAACATGGCATGTTCTTGGAACAAAAAACATATCGAATATAACAGAGATTCAGATAGGTGAGGATTTTTTGAGAAGTTTGATCAGAAAAGCAACTAATGGAACCAACCAGTTGTATTATAAGGACGGCTTCAATTTGAGTGCCACTGAGAGTAGGTATAGCGTGGTGCAATGCTCTAGAGATCTCACAAATGAAGTGTGCAGACAATGTTTGGAGGACATACTAGCTGAACTTCACAAATGCTGTGAACAAAAACTAGTATGGAATATTTGGTCTGGAAGTTGTTTGATTCGGTATGATGATTATATGTTCTATCTTCTTAACACCCAACCACCTTCAGCTCCTGCTCCCAATGTACAAGGTGAATCTGAATCCATCTTTTTATCAACAAATATTAGTTTTTATTAGTGGAAGCATTCAAACCAACGGCATATCCCCTCCTCCGTCCCTTCCTCTTTTATCACCAAATCTACCTTATATTCTCATTCATCTTTCTTATTGTCGCAGATAAACAAGGGAGTAATAACAGGTCAAAAATATTGATCATTACCTTAAGTGTGACTGGGCCAATAATTGTACTATGTTTCAACGTGTATTCCTTCTGGCATAGGAAAAGCGTGAGAAAAGGTAATTATCAAGAAAAAATGAAGGGTGGAGTTAGAGAATGTAACTTCTCCAAGCACACATTCCTTGATTTTCTCCTAGTCAAATAAAAATAGTTTTCTCATATATAAACTCACAACCTTCTCTCTGTAGAACGGCTTCCTCTACCATCATTTCACAAAATTCAACCAGGGGAAATGTGGAACACGGACCTGCCTAGAATCCCATTAATCACAATTCTAGAGAGTACTGATAACTTTTCAGAAGCATCTAAATTGGGGGAAGGCGGATTCGGCTCCGTTTACAAGGTTTGGATGATTTGAAGTTTCAGATATAGATTCCTTATTTTTACCAACTTTTTATATGGTTTTCTTTATTGCAAATTTTTATCAGGGAACTCTGCCTGATGGAACGCAAATTGCAGTAAAAAGACTCTCAGAATTTTCTGGTCAAGGCTCAGAGGAGTTCAAAAATGAAGTAATGTTTATAGCTAAATTGAGGCATCGTAACCTAGTAAGACTTTTAGCATGTTGCTCGGAGGGAAATGAAAAGATACTCGTATATGAGTATTTGCCGAATAAAAGTCTCGACTTTCACCTATTTGGTATGTTTTCACATTGTAAAATATGGAAATATGCTCTCTGGTACCAATTTTGTAGAATTATGAAAATATACTCCATTATAAATTTTCTGGAAAACTTTCCAGAACACACAAATACAAACAACATTTTACCCTCACAATACAACAATAATATACTCTTCAAAACTCACAAACAACAACACAACACAACTCTGTTTTTATCCTTCACCGTGGGTACTCTCCTTTCTTCACTCACAATACATAATTCTTTCTCTTCTTTCTTCTCCACAGTGGTTCTTCTCTCTCCCACATACTCCTACATATTTTTCTCCACTTCACGGTGCTCACACAAATACATCCGTGGCTATCCCTCTCTTTCTTTACTTTCACCATCTCTTCCATGGTGCACACACATGAAAGTGTGCCACACTTGACCACACCTTCCTCTATATTTTCTTTCTTCTCCGTGGTGGGTATGTAACCCCTTGCTTTCTCTTCTATTTATAACAAACTCCACTTCCCATCTTTCACGGTTGCTAGCCATGACATCAATCATGCACCAAAGTCTTGCAACCAAAGACTTGCAACATACAAAAGCTGCTGCCGTGGAAAACTTTGCACATCCAAACAAAGGACTTTTCTACTTTGCACAAAAGGTGGGGAACATTCATTCCCTTATTCAACAAATGAGCCCCATCACATTTACGTTTATCCAACACACATAACCCCAGTAGCAGTGTTGCTTTCACTGCAATTTGTTCTTCAGCATTCGACAGTACAAAAATAGAATTGGTTCCCAAGTAAAGTGAGAAAACTAAGAGCATGAGAACACGATCATAATAGCTAACACAGTCATACCATATTTTTCTTTCTTTCATATACACATTACACTAAATTCAGTTATATCATGTTATAACTCATCTTTCAAGGGGAAGTGATAGATTCTTTTGGTTTTTTATCTCTTCGTGTGGCTAAATCATAGCATTTGGTGTATTTTCTATTTTTCTGCTTACCACACCGTTTTGTTGTTCAAATCTCTATGATTTTATTGTGCTCTCAGATGTTGAGAGAAGAAAACAATTCGATTGGAAACTAAGATTAAGCATTATCAATGGAATAGCAAGAGGTATGTTTTACCTTCATGAGGACTCTCAACTGAGAGTAATTCATAGAGATCTCAAAGCCAGCAACGTTCTATTAGACCATGACATGAATCCCAAAATATCAGATTTTGGATTGGCAAGGGCATTTGAAGTGGGACAGAACCAAGCAAATACAAAACGAGTTATGGGCACTTAGTGAGTTTACTTATGACAAATACTTTGAAAACAATACGATTTATCAATGCATATTTTAGTTTTTAATTACAGTAAAATAAAATTCTTTGCTATATGTTTCTTGACACGAGATAATAACAAAGGTCTATTGATTTCCATTTATTAGTGGATACATGGCTCCTGAATATGCTATGGAAGGACTATTTTCAGTGAAATCTGATGTTTTCAGCTTCGGAGTTCTTGTTCTAGAAATCATTTGTGGGAGAAAGAATGGTAGATTCTACCTGTCAGATGGTCAAATTCTCCTTGTATACGTAAGTCTCCACTCTAATGTGGTATAGAAATTATTTACAATGCTAAGAGAACTAAGGCTTAAGCTTATTAAAAAAACTACAAATACATGTGTAGGCTTGGAGAATATGGTATGAAGGAAAATGTTTGGAATTGATGGATCCAATACTAGAAAAATCCTTCATAGGCAGTGAAGTACAGAGGTGCATACAGATTGGTTTGTTGTGTGTTCAAGAAGACGCAAGAGATAGACCAACCATGTCCGATGTTGTTGTAATGCTGGTGAGTGACACAGTGGCCATTCCAAAACCCAAGCACCCAGCCTTTTCAGTAGGAAGAATGGTCTCAGAGAAAGGCTCCACATCAAGAAGTTCCAACAATCGTTCCATTTATGATATAACATCCTCCATTACTTTACCTAGGTAATTTCATGATTGCACAATGGATTTGTATATATCTAAAGTTGCATTTATAATTGATTTAAATCAAATTATTTATTAATTTATCTAGTCATATTGACATTATATGTACCCCTACTTTTTACTTTAGAATATAGTCCAATCTCCAATATAAAAATCTTGCTTTTGTTGCGTAAGAAAATACATCAATTTCCAAGAAAAAACTGCACAGACAAAAATACGGCATCCAACCACAGTTCATAAAACAAAATTATAATCACAAAGCCAGGTACCTAAAATTGCTTGGGTGAGAAAACCATCCCCGGTAACATTGCAAGTCCTTGTCAAAGTCAGAACGAGCAGCACCATGTGTTTCTCCAACAAGGAATCAAGCCTGACTGAGCCATCAGTTTTCTTCTTAACAGAAATTGTTCCATTATCTATATTCCACTCCGTTAAGTCATCATGAAGAACCTGAATGATAGACAACACGCTAACATGGGAGAGGCAATTGGCCACACAAAAAGCAAAGCTGATGTTAAATTCCGGAAGCAGCAAAGTCTGAGAAAATTTTCATAAAGAAGCAAATACCCATAAAAGTTCAAGAGGGAATTGGTAGCCAAATCTACGTATGAGCCAAAAAGTTCATGGCTACTCGGTAAGTGCTACTTTCATCAACCTCAGTGCTACTTACATCAACCATTTTCTAATTTGAAGACATTAAGAGCTACTATATTTGTTCCCCGAAATTGAAAAGAAAAAAAGGTTTGACAAGAACAAATAGCCTCAAACTCACAGAACGTGCCACCATAACCCGTTAAGAAACTATTTTCAAAACCAACTAGGCAAGTTTACTCTCGAGACTTACCCCCCAATTTTCCGGCACAAAGGCATTTTCACAAACAGTTCATAGCCACCGCAACTTAAACTCGTTTGATTGAAACTCAAATAAGAGTATTAAGGTATTAAGTTGTGTCAGTTTCAACTACAAAGAATAAAGGAGACTAGTCAGATTCCTTTGCTAAGAAGATGATACCATTATCATTACAACTATGCAAAACAACTTTAGAAAAACAATAAACTAAGAGAACGCAACTTTAACAAACAATGCAGAGATACCTGAGAATTTTTCGGAAAATGTTTAGAATGCAGTGATTTTGTGTTTTTTAATAGATACAGAGAAAGGATGTAAGTGTCATAATGCATTGCATTGTTTGAAAATATAATAAAATTTGATAATGTATCTTAACTAGCACGGTAAAAACGAGTCAGACAGCGGTTGATATTTGAATCTGAGCTGACTGATCACGAGTTAATAGGTTGACTTCACTGATCACGAGTTAATAGGTTAAAGGACATGACTTATTGACTTTTTTAAAAGTTTTACAAGTTTTTTTTATGTTAAATTTTAAAAAATTCAAAATAAATTAAAAAAATATAATACAATCTAAACTTATTTTAAACTCCAAATATAATTTAAAAGCAAACATAAAAAATAAATTAGATGAGTTTGCGAGCAAAACTAACTCATCATAAATTCAATACAGGTGAATGGAGTTTTTAATGGGTTAATTTATTTAGTGAGTTAATTCAAAATTAACCCGTATTTAAAATTTTAACTTTTTTTTTTCCACCCAACTTAGCCAAACTAGACATAACTCACGAGTTTCAATCTATTTTAATATCACTGATCTTTAACATTTTTCCGAAGCCAATCAACCCTTTTTCCCCTAAGTTGTATGTGATTCTGCACACTAGAAGAAAATTTGAGTCATTTTTTAATTGCCTAAATCTTCATATATTTTTTCCTTTTATTAAAATTATTAATTCATTGAAAGCAAAACAAAGAAAAAATAATTGTTAAAACTGACAGTTACAAAAACAGATTATTTTTAACCTTGATATTTATTATTAAAAAATAATAGTATCTCTTATTTTATATATTAATATCCTTCAATATATATCTTTGTTTATATTTAATGATGTTCTATTTACAAATTTTAAAATTTATTTTGCGTTATTTTTATTTTATATAAGATCATATTTTCCAATATTTCTAAATCTTACTTTAACAATGCATAATATAATATATAACTTAAAATTTTAGTTATAAATTTTAATTTCAATATTTCAAACATTGAATATTATATAACTTTCACTATATTTAAATAAATAAATTATTTACATTATTTTATTTAAATATTAAAATTATATCTATTTACAAAAATAATCTTCAAATAAAAACTTTGATCAGCCGAAAAATTCATTTTTCAACAAACATAAATTAAATAATAATATTAAAAATATAATAACAAGTAATGCCTAATAAACATGTTTTTCTAAACATATTTTCCTATATTAATTAAGTTCTAAGATATCTTTTCCAATAAACTTATCTATTAAAAATAAAAACATGTTTAAGTACTATAATACTATTTTTGTGAGACTCTTTAAATCAAAGTATTAGTGGTGACAGGATGTTCTAAATAATAAAACTTGTTTATTTTAATATTAAAAATTAAAAATATAAATGGAGTTTTGATTAATGAGTCTCGTTAGTTAAAACATATATCATTTACTTAAAACTCATTTCTTTAATAATCTATGTTATATTTCTTAGTTTTCTAACTCTTAAGTTATGATAAGATCTTCAATTCTCTCTGATTAAATGTTGTAGAAGAGTAAGTTAAATTTTATTGTTCTTCTCTCTCGTTTTCTACCTTCCTCATTATAACATCCCAAAATTACAGCAATAAATCATATGATAGAATAATTACATTAATAATAATCCAGATTAGTCTTAACTAGAGACGAGCGTACGCTCATGGCCGAACGGCCTTACAGAAAAAGTTACAAATTAAAGTTGTACCTCACCACCCAAACTATGCGACCGGTTTACAAAATAACAATACCGATCGTTCATACTTAAACAAAAGGAAAGGTGAGCGGACATCCACCTTACTATAACTAGACTATTGCCCGAACGTCCTACTCTCCGGTCTTGACTTCGATTTCTTCCAAATTTTCTTCTCCCAGCGCCTTATCCAGCAGCTCGACTCCTTCTGCTCACATCCACACGGATGACCATTGCAATGACAAGGACGGACGTACAAAACCAGACACGACAGGAAACGCAGGGTAAGCTTATGTAATTTAATTCATGCATAAACATACATTCCAAACAATCCAACAAAACAAAGTACATTTCATCATACATATCATACGAAGCCTAGTACTAGACTGACTGTCAGGACTGTATGAAATCTGTGTAGCTACAGGCGTTCATGCACCCGGGTGATGTAGTAATTGGAATACTCTTATCAACTGCCACCCGAGGTTAATCCTATTCATCCAAAGTACCCCTAAGGACGGGACCTCCTGCCGTTTCCACACATGACCTACCCTCCTCTACGTGAGGACGAGTACTCACGAAACATCAGGATGAACTGTCAGCACTAGCATAACCACAGTCATACTTTACAAATCTCAATTCTCAATCCTGAGTCGTTCCTCCCTGGAANTCTATTGATTTCCATTTATTAGTGGATACATGGCTCCTGAATATGCTATGGAAGGACTATTTTCAGTGAAATCTGATGTTTTCAGCTTTGGAGTTCTTGTTCTAGAAATCATTTGTGGGAGAAAGAATGGTAGATTCTACCTGTCAGATGGTCAAATTCTCCTTGAATACGTAAGTCTCCACTCTAATGTGGTATAGAAATTATTTACAATGCTAAGAGAACTAAGGCTTAAGCTTATTAAAAAAACTACAAATACATGTGTAGGCTTGGAGAATATGGTATGAAGGAAAATGTTTGGAATTGATGGATCCAATACTAGAAAAATCCTTCATAGGCAGTGAAGTACAGAGGTGCATACAGATTGGTTTGTTGTGTGTTCAAGAAGACGCAAGAGATAGACCAACCATGTCCGATGTTGTTGTAATGCTGGTGAGTGACACAGTGGCCATTCCAAAACCCAAGCACCCAGCCTTTTCAGTAGGAAGAATGGTCTCAGAGAAAGGCTCCACATCAAGAAGTTCCAACAATCGTTCCATTTATGATATAACATCCTCCATTACTTTACCTAGGTAATTTCATGATTGCACAATGGATTTGTATATATATAAAGTTGCATTTATAATTGATTTAAATCAAATTATTTATTAATTTATCTAGTCATATTGACATTATATGTACCCCTACTTTTTACTTTAGAATATAGTCCAATCTCCAATATAAAAATCTTGCTTTTGTTGCGTAAGAAAATACATCAATTTCCAAGAAAAAACTGCACAGACAAAAATACGGCATCCAACCACAGTTCATAAAACAAAATTATAATCACAAAGCCAGGTACCTAAAATTGCTTGGGTGAGAAAACCATCCCCGGTAACATTGCAAGTCCTTGTCAAAGTCAGAACGAGCAGCACCATGTGTTTCTCCAACAAGGAATCAAGCCTGACTGAGCCATCAGTTTTCTTCTTAACAGAAATTGTTCCATTATCTATATTCCACTCCGTTAAGTCATCATGAAGAACCTGAATGATAGACAACACGCTAACATGGGAGAGGCAATTGGCCACACAAAAAGCAAAGCTGATGTTAAATTCCGGAAGCAGCAAAGTCTGAGAAAATTTTCATAAAGAAGCAAATACCCATAAAAGTTCAAGAGGGAATTGGTAGCCAAATCTACGTATGAGCCAAAAAGTTCATGGCTACTCGGTAAGTGCTACTTTCATCAACCTCAGTGCTACTTACATCAACCATTTTCTAATTTGAAGACATTAAGAGCTACTATATTTGTTCCCCGAAATTGAAAAGAAAAAAAGGTTTGACAAGAACAAATAGCCTCAAACTCACAGAACGTGCCACCATAACCCGTTAAGAAACTATTTTCAAAACCAACTAGGCAAGTTTACTCTCGAGACTTACCCCCCAATTTTCCGGCACAAAGGCATTTTCACAAACAGTTCATAGCCACCGCAACTTAAACTCGTTTGATTGAAACTCAAATAAGAGTATTAAGGTATTAAGTTGTGTCAGTTTCAACTACAAAGAATAAAGGAGACTAGTCAGATTCCTTTGCTAAGAAGATGATACCATTATCATTACAACTATGCAAAACAACTTTAGAAAAACAATAAACTAAGAGAACGCAACTTTAACAAACAATGCAGAGATACCTGAGAATTTTTCGGAAAATGTTTAGAATGCAGTGATTTTGTGTTTTTTAATAGATACAGAGAAAGGATGTAAGTGTCATAATGCATTGCATTGTTTGAAAATATAATAAAATTTGATAATGTATCTTAACTAGCACGGTAAAAACGAGTCAGACAGCGGTTGATATTTGAATCTGAGCTGACTGATCACGAGTTAATAGGTTGACTTCACTGATCACGAGTTAATAGGTTAAAGGACATGACTTATTGACTTTTTTAAAAGTTTTACAAGTTTTTTTTATGTTAAATTTTAAAAAATTCAAAATAAATTAAAAAAATATAATACAATCTAAACTTATTTTAAACTCCAAATATAATTTAAAAGCAAACATAAAAAATAAATTAGATGAGTTTGCGAGCAAAACTAACTCATCATAAATTCAATACAGGTGAATGGAGTTTTTAATGGGTTAATTTATTTAGTGAGTTAATTCAAAATTAACCCGTATTTAAAATTTTAACTTTTTTTTTTCCACCCAACTTAGCCAAACTAGACATAACTCACGAGTTTCAATCTATTTTAATATCACTGATCTTTAACATTTTTCCGAAGCCAATCAACCCTTTTTCCCCTAAGTTGTATGTGATTCTGCACACTAGAAGAAAATTTGAGTCATTTTTTAATTGCCTAAATCTTCATATATTTTTTCCTTTTATTAAAATTATTAATTCATTGAAAGCAAAACAAAGAAAAAATAATTGTTAAAACTGACAGTTACAAAAACAGATTATTTTTAACCTTGATATTTATTATTAAAAAATAATAGTATCTCTTATTTTATATATTAATATCCTTCAATATATATCTTTGTTTATATTTAATGATGTTCTATTTACAAATTTTAAAATTTATTTTGCGTTATTTTTATTTTATATAAGATCATATTTTCCAATATTTCTAAATCTTACTTTAACAATGCATAATATAATATATAACTTAAAATTTTAGTTATAAATTTTAATTTCAATATTTCAAACATTGAATATTATATAACTTTCACTATATTTAAATAAATAAATTATTTACATTATTTTATTTAAATATTAAAATTATATCTATTTACAAAAATAATCTTCAAATAAAAACTTTGATCAGCCGAAAAATTCATTTTTCAACAAACATAAATTAAATAATAATATTAAAAATATAATAACAAGTAATGCCTAATAAACATGTTTTTCTAAACATATTTTCCTATATTAATTAAGTTCTAAGATATCTTTTCCAATAAACTTATCTATTAAAAATAAAAACATGTTTAAGTACTATAATACTATTTTTGTGAGACTCTTTAAATCAAAGTATTAGTGGTGACAGGATGTTCTAAATAATAAAACTTGTTTATTTTAATATTAAAAATTAAAAATATAAATGGAGTTTTGATTAATGAGTCTCGTTAGTTAAAACATATATCATTTACTTAAAACTCATTTCTTTAATAATCTATGTTATATTTCTTAGTTTTCTAACTCTTAAGTTATGATAAGATCTTCAATTCTCTCTGATTAAATGTTGTAGAAGAGTAAGTTAAATTTTATTGTTCTTCTCTCTCGTTTTCTACCTTCCTCATTATAACATCCCAAAATTACAGCAATAAATCATATGATAGAATAATTACATTAATAATAATCCAGATTAGTCTTAACTAGAGACGAGCGTACGCTCATGGCCGAACGGCCTTACAGAAAAAGTTACAAATTAAAGTTGTACCTCACCACCCAAACTATGCGACCGGTTTACAAAATAACAATACCGATCGTTCATACTTAAACAAAAGGAAAGGTGAGCGGACATCCACCTTACTATAACTAGACTATTGCCCGAACGTCCTACTCTCCGGTCTTGACTTCAATTTCTTCCAAATTTTCTTCTAACAACGCCTTATCCAGCAGCTCGACTCCTTCTGCTCACATCCACAAGGATGAACATTGCAATGACAAGGACGGACGTACAAAACCAGACACGACAGGAAACGCAGGGTAAGCTTATGTAATTTAATTCATGCATAAACATACATTCCAAACAATCCAACAAAACAAAGTACATTTCATCATACATATCATACGAAGCCTAGTACTAGACTGACTGTCAGGACTGTATGAAATCTGTGTAGCTACAGGCGTTCATGCACCCGGGTGATGTAGTAATTGGAATACTCTTATCAACTGCCACCCGAGGTTAATCCTATTCATCCAAAGTACCCCTAAGGACGGGACCTCCTGCCGTTTCCACACATGACCTACCCTCCTCTACGTGAGGACGAGTACTCACGAAACATCAGGATGAACTGTCAGCACTAGCATAACCACAGTCATACTTTACAAATCTCAATTCTCAATCCTGAGTCGTTCCTCCCTGGAACGCTCGTACAAATCCACAACATTCTATTCATCTCATATTTTCTTCATCATTCTTTATCAATCATCTCAAGTTTGTCTTTCATTATCAATCATTTTAGTTTCATCTTTCACTTTCAACCATTTCAATTTCCTATTTGATCAAAAATTTATAAAGACGCCAAACCGAACGTAAATCCTCACTTAGAACAAGGACGAACACTTGAGACGAGACAGATAGGTCTCCAGTTACATAATAGAATAAGTCCAAGAGGTTTACTGTCGGTTTGAGAGAGAACCGAGTGTAATAGATATAGCAAGGAACGAATGAACCGAACGTTCATTACAAAGTGAATCAATTATATGAACCGACTCTTGATAACTCTGACCGAACGCTGAAAAGACCTCGCCAAAGGCTACGACTCTAGGCTGGAACCAATCGATACAGACACTTCAAGATATTCCAACAATAATACTTAGAAGAATTCTCATGAAGAAACCGAACGCTTATGAATATTTAACTTATTTGATTTTACATCAAGAAATCCGAATGCTAGTAAATGACCGAGCACGGTAGAGAATAAAATTCTATTGAAGTTAAACGAACGCTATTTTCATCAAGATAGATTATACAAGAAACGAGTACGAGCGCTTGGTGTAAGACCGAGCACTACTCAGTACGAGTGCTTGGTGTAAGACCGAGCACTAATGAACTTAAAATAAAAGGCCTAATAAATAGAATAAGATACTATCGAAGTAGTGTTTACGAACAACGAGAATATACCATTATATATATATATATATATATATATATATATATATATATTGAGTTTATCAAAGGATACCCAGTTACAACTGTGCTTGGCTGAACGCTCAAACATAGTATTACCACACGAGGATGCTCGTCCTCAACTAGGATTCTCTCCAAATGAAAGAATCCCATTTCAACTATGTTTACCAGAAAAACCGAACGGTCAATAACCATTCAGTTACGAACGTACACTTTCATATGAGAAATTTCATATTCAGAATCTATTTGTATTTATCTCCTTTCTTAACATATAGTTTCATAACTTTATACATTCATATCATGATCAACTTTCATACTTCATACAATCCATATCATATAAGGTTCATATCTTCCATGCATTAAAACATAACTCAACCATATCTCATTTCCACTCATTAAACAAACGAACGTTCATGCAATCTAATCATATCAATCATCATGCATCAAAGTCATTCAGTCAAATAACAAACGTTCATCCAGTACAACAACATACAAATACCAATTAAATTAAATAAGCTTCCCTTACCTGGATACGTGATTGAAAGTCCTAAATGTAGGTTCTTGGTTCGTCCGACTACAACTTTCTACCCTCAACGATCAACAATTCTCCAAACAGTTTCAGCTTCACAAACCGAACGGTTTATTTTGAAGCTCTTGACGCCGGAAGTACTCCTACGGTCCCGGAATAGTGATTGGAGGAGAGAAAGTGGGTGTTTTCTCATAAAGAAGATGAAGAGGATGTAGAGAGAAAGAGGAGAGATTGGGATTCTTCAGAAATCTGAAAAGAGGGTGCATGCAAAGAGTGAGGTAGGTTTTTCTGAAAATCCAAGTTTTGCTTCACACTTCAAAACGGACGTCCTCTCATCTGTCGACACCTGCTTTCCACTGACTGATTTTCGGGTCTCCTTCGCTTGACACCTGGCGTTCGTCATCTGAGTGTCGAACCTCCCTCTTGACACGTGAATTCCACTAACGATACGTGTTTGGATTTTACTGGTTCTGACACTCATGCACGTGGATTAGTCCATGCATGTGTTATTTGAGTTTTTTTATTGTATTATTTATTAATAAATGGTTCTAAAGATATGTTTCGATCATAATTTTATAGATAGTAGGTGCCGATAAAGTATCTGTTTGGTGAGAATGGTCTAGATTATATAGGGTTGTTTGAGCTTCTAAAAAGCTAAGGAAGCTTACTACTTTCTGTTTCAAGTTATAATTTATATCCGTTTTGTGTGTTTATGATGATGACTAAAAAATGATTTGGATGGTGTGTTTGAATTGGTGTGATAATTTTAAGATAAAGTTGTTTTACCCATAACCCCAGAACCCACAGTTTCTACTAGCCTGAGGGAACACATAACTCCTACCCTTTATATGGTCAAAACGAAGATCACATGGCAAAAGAAAAACTGTCAACAACACATACATTACGGTCATTCTCCCATCGCACATTCATATGCAAAACAATAGTACACATTTCGTATATGATTCGTTAACAAGGCATGATCAACAGATACCTCATCAAACATTACCCAATCAGACGCCCACGCTCTTCACCAGGTGTCTCCAGAATTCTCAACTTCGCTTTGGTTTTAAAGAAACAACCTTATACGAAAGTAATAAAAAAATAAAAAATAAAAAAGAGCTAGAAGCCATTGAAAAGGGTTGAACAACAACCACAGGTGCATCCATCGGACCAGATATCACAACAAACACATTAACCCTAAGTTTAGGTACAGATTGCATAGTGTGTCTTACCCACCATGTGATATATATTATGTTTATATATCACCAATATGAAGAAACCGAATCAAGGAAAAACAATTACAAACCCTAAATTTTTGTGCCTTTTTTACTCAAGTTCCTAACATGTATTTACAGCGCAACAAAACCAACAAAAGATCCAACCAAATTAAGAGTTGTGTATTCTGATTTCATTTACTTTTCGGGATAATTCTTTCGACAAGAAGTTAACACACTCGAAATCGAAGACGCGGCATGGCAACCAGAGCACGCCTTTTTACTCGTACATCACGGATTCATCGAGTTTTTGCTCAAAGACAGGGTGGTTGAGGAGTGGAGATGGAGGGAGAGGGGACAGTCTGGCAATGAAGAGAGTTCGGAGAATGATGGAGATGAATAAAGGAGGGAGAGAATCTCACTGTCAAGATATAAAAATCATAGAGAAGGATTAAAAATCATAGAGAAGGATTAAAAACATATTTAACCCTAAAAATCATAGAGAAGGATTAAAGTGAAGCAAACTTGGAAAGAGAGATAGTTAAAGGACTAAAAACATATTTAACCCTAAAAGATAATTAAATATTAATAATAAATTACACCAAAAAATTTGTTTTTGTTAATTTTAAAAATCATAAATAATAATTTTTTATGTTTTATTTATTATATTTCACCCAAATAATTCTCTTATCTATATATGTCTTCTTTGCTTTCCTTGTTTTTTCACTCCTGTACCAGCAAGGGGCGGGCGCCCTACGGAAGGACGCCCATTTCAACACGATATTAGACCGGTTAATGACCGCCCGCCCATTTCAAACATTGCAAACCCGTGAGATTACATTACCAATGACATAGTGACGTTTGAGTACGATGGGGGCGAGCGCCCATATTATACGAAATGAGTTCCACATCCCAAGGCCGGCCGCCCGATTATTAGACCTCGTGACAAATGGTCGGCCAAGCTACTAATCGTCCTGTCTTAATGAGAATCGACTTGGTTTAAGGTAAGTAGAGTTTAGAAGCTATTGGGCTGTCATGGGCCGTGATTAACCTTTTACTAATCCCAAGCCCATAGCGAAAACTATAAATACAAGTCCAGGGTGAGTGGTAGATAGGTTACATTGAATGCACATTTATTACTATCCCTAAGAAAAGCCACTGCTCTGAAACTGACTTTGGCATCGGAGAACCTTTTGCAGGTATCCACCCCTCAGGGCCAACGAGGAAACCAAGACTAGAAGAGAAGCCAGCTGTCGGAGCGAGATAGCGGGAGAACTGGGAGAATTAAGAGAGCACAGCCCTACACATCCGAAACATTTGGCGCCCACCGTGGGGCCGTGTGATTTTAAAAACCCAATGGTGACCACGAGAAACATGAGCATGGACGACCCCGTTGAGATGATCCGAGTCCTGCAGCAAAAAATGGATGAGATGCAGCAACGTCATGAAGGCGAATTGGCGGCGGTAAAGGCCGACTATGAAGCCCGGATAGCCCGGGAGGTTGGAAGGACGGATGGAGGAGAGGAGAGAGCGAAGGATAAAGGGAAGGCGGCGGCGGAAGAACGTACGCCTCAAGACACCGAGCGTGATAGCACTTGGAGGCCTACCGGGTCCGAGGCGGAGGGAAGTAAAGTTAAATCGGTGCAGGCGGAGAGTGCTGCCGAGGAAAGACGAATGGTGGTGAAATCGGAGCCCCCGTCAACTTTGTTACTTCCCTTCACCCGAAACATAATGGATGTTCAAATTTCGGAACAGTTTGTGGCTCCGCAATTCAAAATGTATAACGGGACGACAGACCCCGAGTCCCATATCAAGACGTTCTCTAATGCAATGGCATTCCGAACGGGAAATGATGCCATTTGGTGTCGAGCGTTCTCGCTTTCATTGGAGGACGAAGCATTGGAATGGTTCAACACCCTCCCGCCCAATTCCATAGAAAATTTTGCTGGGTTGAAACAGCTGTTCGTTAAACAATTCGCGGCCAGTAGTACCCAAGACTTGACCGTATTCGAGTTAATGACCCTCAAACAGGGGAAGGAAGAAACGTTGCAGGCGTTCATGGATAGATACCAAAAGACTGTCCGACGCGTGAAAAGCCTGACGCCAGAGCTCGCCCTCCACTACATCCTACCGGCTCTCAAGCCAGGGCCGTTTAAGGATAGCGTCTGCAGACGAGCGCCTAAGACGATGGAAGAGCTGAAAGAGCGGGCGGCAGACGAAATAAGGGTGGAGGAGATGAAGCTCTCGTATAAAAGGGAGAACCAGGAGGCACGGGGAGAAAGGGCGGACGGTGGTAAGTCCAATTCCTCAGCAGGAAAGCCGCCCGGCCCTAAGCACGGAGAGCAGAGAAGGGGGCCTCGTTTCCAACAGTACACCCCCCTGAACGCCCCAAGGGAGAAAATCCTTCGGGAAGCGCTGAGCGCGGATCTGAACCAGGAGACGGAAAAACGCCCAACTCCGAAGGGGGCGGACGGCAGCAAACACTGCGCCTACCACAAAAACATGGGTCACACCACTGAGGAGTGCGTGACCCTCAAGGATAAGATAGAGGAACTCATCCGGGCAGGAAAGCTTAAGAGGTACGTCCGTGACGAACGTCTTCCACAGACGACGGAACGGCCCGTACAACGGTCGACCTACCGTTCAGACAGAGCGAGAAGCTCAAGGACCGAGCGCCCTCGCTCAGAACGGCGGGCTAGCAGAAGTCGCAGCCGCAGTCGAGAGCGCCCCCTGCGGGGGCACATCAACACTATTTCTAGAGGATTTGCGGGAGGAGGGTCGTCCTCCTCCGCTCGGAAACGCCACGTACGAGCCCTCTAGTCTGTGCACTTGGTTGACAAACCGCGTCGCTCCATGCCGCCCATTACCTTTTCGGACGAAGAGTTCCACGCACCTGACCCCGACCAGGACGATCCGATGGTCATAACCGCCGAGATAGCGCGGTACGGGGTCAGCAAAGTTTTGGTTGACCAGGGAAGCTCGGTCAACATCCTTTACTGGAAGACCTTCCTGCAAATGGACATCTCAGAGGATCCGATCGTCCCCTATGACGGACAGATAGTGGGGTTTGCAGGAGAAAGGGTCGATACGAGGGGATATGTGGAATTGAGGACGAGATTGGGGACCGGCCGCTCTAGCGAGGAGAGGAGGATCTGATATCTGTTAGTAGAGGCTAACACCTCGTACAATGTACTGCTTGGAAGGTCGTGCTTGAATGCGTTCGGAGCAATCGTTTCTACGCCCCACCTCACGATGAAGTACCCCTCTGAAAAGGGAACTATCTGCACGGTCCGGGCGGACCAGAAGACGGCTCGGGAGTGCTATGCGGCAGGTTTAAAGTTGCACACCCGGCTAGTGAAGAGGCGGGCGGTCGGCTCTGAGGTGGCCATGGCTGACCTCGATCCAAGAACGAATACGGAGGACCGCCTAGAACCTATTGGGGAAACCCAACCTATCTTGATAGGGAGGGAACCCTCTCAGACCACACTCATCGCCAGGGAGCTGAACCCTGGGACGGAAAAGGAGCTAAGGGCGCTCCTATGGAGGAACCGGGATTTATTTGCGTGGACGGCGGCTGATATGCCGGGGATTCATCCCGCGGTGGTGTGCCACAAGCTCTCGCTTTTTAAAGACGCCTGCCCGGTGGCCCAGAGAAAACGGAGGGTGGGCGAAGAAAAGCGAAAGGCCGTGGAGGAGGAGGTCGAGAAATTGAGGAAGGCAGGTTTTGTCTGGGAAGTCACCTATACCACGTGGTTGGCCAATGTGGTTATGGTGAAGAAAGCCAGCGAAAAATGGTGCATGTGCACTGACTACACTGACCTGAACAAAGCTTGCCCGAAAGACTCACACCCCCTGCCCAACATAGACGCCTTGGTGGACGGCGCCTCTGGACATCGGATACTAAGCTTCCTGGATGCGTACTCTGGATATAACCAGATACCCATGTATGGGCTGGACATCGAAAAGACGGCTTTCATCACCGAGAAGGCCAACTTTTGTTATGAGGTCATGTCGTTCGGCCTGAAGAATGCAGGGGCGACGTACCAGCGCTTAATGGACAGGATCTTCCAGGAGCAGATAGGCCGGTGCATGGATGTATATGTGGACGACATGGTCGTCCGGTCCACGGATGAAGAGGGGCACGCAAGAGACCTTGAAGAGGTGTTTCGCCAAGTAAGGAAGTTTGGCATGCGTTTGAACCCCGCCAAATGCACATTTGGGGTCGCCGTCGGAAAGTTCCTAGGCTTCATGCTGACGTCTCGAGGCATCGAAGCCAATCCGGACAAATGCGAGGCGATACTGCAAATGCAAAGCCCGGCCACCCTTAAGGAAGTACAGAGACTGGTAGGGCGCCTCACCGCCTTGTCACGGTTTATCCCAAAATTAGCCCAAAGGATGAGACCGGTCCTACGAAAACTGAAGAAAGGGGCCGGCCCGGTCTGGGACGACGAGTGCGAACGAGCGTTTCGGGACGTCAAAACCATCCTTGTCAACCCGCCGGTCATGAACCGCCTGGTACCCGGAGGGGACTTGCACATTTTCCTGGGGGTGTCAGAAACGGCCATTAGCGCCGTGTTGATGCAAGAACGGCCTCAGGCGAGGCTAATTTATTTTGTAAGCCGCACGCTTTTAGACGCCGAGAGCCGATACCAACGGGTAGAGAAGGTGGCATTGGCCTTGTTGAACGTGTCCCGAAGACTCCGCCCTTACTTCCAAAGTCATCAGGTGATAGTCAGGACCGACTTCCCTGTCTCAAAGATCCTGAGAAAGCCGGACTTAGCCGGACGTATGGTGGCATGGGCGGTGGAGCTCTCGGAGTTCGGCTTGCGCTACAAGCCCAGGGGGTCGATCAAGGGCCAACATTTGGCAGATTTTGCGGCCGAGCTACCCTCGTCCGGCAAGGACGAGTGGAACTTGTATGTGGATGGGGCGTCCGATCAATCGATCAGTGGAGCCGGCATCGTCTTGGAGGGCCCCAATGGATTCTTACTGGAACACTCCCTGATCTTCAAATTCAAAGTCTCCAACAATCAGGCCGAGTATGAGGCCCTGGTGGCCGGCCTCGAGCTCGCAAAGGACANATTTGGCGCCCACCGTGGGGCCGTGTGATTTTTAAAACCCAATGGTGACCACGAGAAACATGAGCATGGACGACCCCGTTGAGATGATCCGAGTCCTGCAGCAAAAAATGGATGAGATGCAGCAACGTCATGAAGGCGAATTGGCGGCGGTAAAGGCCGACTATGAAGCCCGGATAGCCCGGGAGGTTGGAAGGACGGATGGAGGAGAGGAGAGAGCGAAGGATAAAGGGAAGGCGGCGGCGGAAGAACGTACGCCTCAAGACACCGAGCGTGATAGCACTTGGAGGCCTACCGGGTCCGAGGCGGAGGGAAGTAAAGTTAAATCGGTGCAGGCGGAGAGTGCTGCCGAGGAAAGACGAATGGTGGTGAAATCGGAGCCCCCGTCTACTTTGTTACTTCCCTTCACCCGAAACATAATGGATGTTCAAATTTCGGAACAGTTTGTGGCTCCGCAATTCAAAATGTATAACGGGACGACAGACCCCGAGTCCCATATCAAGACGTTCTCTAATGCAATGGCATTCCGAACGGGAAATGATGCCATTTGGTGTCGAGCGTTCTCGCTTTCATTGGAGGACGAAGCATTGGAATGGTTCAACACCCTCCCGCCCAATTCCATAGAAAATTTTGCTGGGTTGAAACAGCTGTTCGTTAAACAATTCGCGGCCAGTAGTACCCAAGACTTGACCGTATTCGAGTTAATGACCCTCAAACAGGGGAAGGAAGAAACGTTGCAGGCGTTCATGGATAGATACCAAAAGACTGTCCGACGCGTGAAAAGCCTGACGCCAGAGCTCGCCCTCCACTACATCCTACCGGCTCTCAAGCCAGGGCCGTTTAAGGATAGCGTCTGCAGACGAGCGCCTAAGACGATGGAAGAGCTGAAAGAGCGGGCGGCAGACGAAATAAGGGTGGAGGAGATGAAGCTCTCGTATAAAAGGGAGAACCAGGAGGCACGGGGAGAAAGGGCGGACGGTGGTAAGTCCAATTCCTCAGCAGGAAAGCCGCCCGGCCCTAAGCACGGAGAGCAGAGAAGGGGGCCTCGTTTCCAACAGTACACCCCCCTGAACGCCCCAAGGGAGAAAATCCTTCGGGAAGCGCTGAGCGCGGATCTGAACCAGGAGACGGAAAAACGCCCAACTCCGAAGGGGGCGGACGGCAGCAAACACTGCGCCTACCACAAAAACATGGGTCACACCACTGAGGAGTGCGTGACCCTCAAGGATAAGATAGAGGAACTCATCCGGGCAGGAAAGCTTAAGAGGTACGTCCGTGACGAACGTCTTCCACAGACGACGGAACGGCCCGTACAACGGTCGACCTACCGTTCAGACAGAGCGAGAAGCTCAAGGACCGAGCGCCCTCGCTCAGAACGGCGGGCTAGCAGAAGTCGCAGCCGCAGTCGAGAGCGCCCCCTGCGGGGGCACATCAACACTATTTCTAGAGGATTTGCGGGAGGAGGGTCGTCCTCCTCCGCTCGGAAACGCCACGTACGAGCCCTCTAGTCTGTGCACTTGGTTGACAAACCGCGTCGCTCCATGCCGCCCATTACCTTTTCGGACGAAGAGTTCCACGCACCTGACCCCGACCAGGACGATCCGATGGTCATAACCGCCGAGATAGCGCGGTACGGGGTCAGCAAAGTTTTGGTTGACCAGGGAAGCTCGGTCAACATCCTTTACTGGAAGACCTTCCTGCAAATGGACATCTCAGAGGATCCGATCGTCCCCTATGACGGACAGATAGTGGGGTTTGCAGGAGAAAGGGTCGATACGAGGGGATATGTGGAATTGAGGACGAGATTGGGGACCGGCCGCTCTAGCGAGGAGAGGAGGATCTGATATCTGTTAGTAGAGGCTAACACCTCGTACAATGTACTGCTTGGAAGGTCGTGCTTGAATGCGTTCGGAGCAATCGTTTCTACGCCCCACCTCACGATGAAGTACCCCTCTGAAAAGGGAACTATCTGCACGGTCCGGGCGGACCAGAAGACGGCTCGGGAGTGCTATGCGGCAGGTTTAAAGTTGCACACCCGGCTAGTGAAGAGGCGGGCGGTCGGCTCTGAGGTGGCCATGGCTGACCTCGATCCAAGAACGAATACGGAGGACCGCCTAGAACCTATTGGGGAAACCCAACCTATCTTGATAGGGAGGGAACCCTCTCAGACCACACTCATCGCCAGGGAGCTGAACCCTGGGACGGAAAAGGAGCTAAGGGCGCTCCTATGGAGGAACCGGGATTTATTTGCGTGGACGGCGGCTGATATGCCGGGGATTCATCCCGCGGTGGTGTGCCACAAGCTCTCGCTTTTTAAAGACGCCTGCCCGGTGGCCCAGAGAAAACGGAGGGTGGGCGAAGAAAAGCGAAAGGCCGTGGAGGAGGAGGTCGAGAAATTGAGGAAGGCAGGTTTTGTCTGGGAAGTCACCTATACCACGTGGTTGGCCAATGTGGTTATGGTGAAGAAAGCCAGCGAAAAATGGTGCATGTGCAATGACTACACTGACCTGAACAAAGCTTGCCCGAAAGACTCACACCCCCTGCCCAACATAGACGCCTTGGTGGACGGCGCCTCTGGACATCGGATACTAAGCTTCCTGGATGCGTACTCTGGATATAACCAGATACCCATGTATGGGCTGGACATCGAAAAGACGGCTTTCATCACCGAGAAGGCCAACTTTTGTTATGAGGTCATGTCGTTCGGCCTGAAGAATGCAGGGGCGACGTACCAGCGCTTAA